TCTGTATGATATGGCAACCTATCTTATTACCATGGATAAAGTACCTGAAATCCTTGCACTGTACCCACATTTCGCTTCCAGTAGATGAACGACATATGAGATTCAGAAACAAGTAGTGTATTGTGAGGACTAATAATAAACAGAAGCTCCCCTATGACTCTGTAATATCCCCATTTGCCAAACTATTATGTATTAGCGATAAGACCTACCATTAATGTATGATGACTTACTGTAAATATGTAGCTCTTGTAATAGCACTTTCTCTGTAACTAGCTGACATTGTAACTATAAGGTGTGAAGGATAGAAGAAATTGTTTATGTAATAATCTAAGATGAGGTCTCATAAAGACCTTTTGTACCCTCTGTAATGCTTTTGCGCTACCGCTCACAGGATGAGTATGGGGTGCACAATACATTAGCCGCCTTCGGCGGCAACAATCAAACCCTGCGGGGTACCTAGTTCAGTCTCTTGCCCCTGGAAAAATGCCCCTGGAAATGCCCCTTTCCTATGCCCCTGGAAAAATACAGATGACTTCCTGTTGGATAAGTAACCCCTGATCCAACAAAGAAGCCGACCACCAATATTCATTCTTGCAAGCTCACTCAAGATAACATGTCTATTTGGAATATCAAAGGCAGACTTAAATAGCCAAAAAAAAAAAAAACAAAACAAAACTAAATCCTTGCAAAGAATTCAGGCGCAATAGTCGCCAAGCGGGAGGCACTGGTAAACTGAGGAGGATCGCCGTGTCACCACGCGCTACGTCGGCCACAAGCATATCAACTTGTTTCCAGAGGTAAAGTTCGTAACCCGATTCAAATTTTTCAAAGAATTCGTGCTCGTAACCCGAAAAGTTTGTAAAGAGGGGCATTCGTAAACCGAGGTACCATTGTATAAGAAATGTTATTTCCATGTTTAAATGTGGTTTGCAATTTATATTACTGACACATTGATCATCTAATACCTCCAGACTCAAGTGATGCTAAAGGAGAGGTTGAAAGTCCCAGTTGGATAACTGGCTTGTCTCTGGATAGATGTTTTATCCTACTCTGTAGACTTGCTACACCAATATATTTATATGTATCACTTATTCAAAATTTATATTGCCAGACAATTAAGTTTATATTTCTGGAAAAGTAGGAGTGGCCAGTGATAAGTAATACTGTATTTATATGAAAATAAAATTGTCAGTGTTTATTATTATTGAATAATGATATGCTATCAAATCATTAAAATAATCAGGGTTGAAAATAAAGATAGAATTATTGGGCACTTTATTTCTTGATAGTTGTCAGTCAAAAAAAACAAGACACCATTTACAAACTTTCAATACAATATGCAGTTAATATTGCTGCTGTTTTGTACTTACAAATTAACCTTAGAAATAGTGCTTCAATTATTCATAGAAAAGGATGCTCAGTAGAATTTTTCTCTGAAGAAAATGGGGAATTATTGCCATGTAGCCGTTAAATTCACCAGCTAATAATATTGGTAATTCTACTTAAACATTAGTTTCTGGACTGTAAACATTATGAAACATTTCTCTTGGACCAACTTAATTATCTGTGCTATAATAGAATACAAACCCTCTTTCCACGTCTTGATAAAACGCATCTGGAGAACAGCCGCTGCAGGAGGGAGAGAGAAGTAGCTATTTTAACCATGGGCAGTTCAAACGTGTCGTGTTGCCATCTTGATTATTTGTACCATACAAGTTATTATCAACACAGCACAAGTCGACAGCATTATATCCGTACAATATACTAGTACTGAATGATTCGTAGAGCTTTTATTTCATTGTGTAATTTTACTGTTATGGTTATGCCATATATATAAACAATAAAACCCAAGGGTAGGTACCCAATAAAACCCAAGGACCAGATAAGAGGCCGCACTTCATAAACAGGATGAGTGGTTCACGGAATACCAAATCCCAGAAGACATTGACACATTTGTTGATGACCTTAATCATCAAATTGAGAGCTGTCTAAGAGTTCCGCGCTGTACACCTGGGCGAAGTAACCCTCAGAGGAAGAAAATAAAATGGTATGAGAATGATTACATAAAGATGCTTAACGCAAATGTGCGAGACATGAGTAGAGAGTACCGGAGACATCCCACTGAAAGTAACCAAGAGTTGTTTAAAACTGTGTGTCAAGTAGCCAGGGAAGAGAAGATTAAAGAGCGGGAAAGACAATGGCTTGAGTTCACTAGCTCTATTGGACGGGAAACATCTGCAAGACAAGTGTGAGCAAAAATTAAGATAGCTAAGGGTGGCAGAGCCCGGCCTGCGGCTCACAAAGACCCCCAGGGTCTTTGCGACATTATGACAGAAGAATTAGGATAACAAGAGCACTGTCTAGTGATGACGAATATGGGGAACCAATCACAGCCCAAGAAGTAAGGGGCGCTATGAAAAAAGGGTAAAAGTACAGCACCTGGTGAAGATGGCTTCACTTACGACATACTCAATGCACTGTGTGAAGTGTCTGGGAATCCAATACTCCACCTGTTTAACAAGTCATTCCTAAGTGGAGTGTTGCCCACACAATGGAAACACGCAATAATTATTCCCATACCGAAGCCTAATGACCCTGGTAATTACAGACCAATCAGCCTCGTGTCATGCACTTGCAAGATGCTTGAAAGGATCATCCTAAACCGACTGTTGCACAAAATAGGCAGGTTAGGGGAGGGGGTCAATGGATTTGTTAAAGAACGGAGCACAGCAAATTGTATAGTTAATTACTTGGCTCATGACACGGCTAGGTACTCTGTATTTGTTGACATCAAAGGAGCCTTCGACAAAGCACAGGGGATTGCGATCCTGGACGAGCTTGCATGCATGGGTGTCAAGGGAAGACTCATGAAATGGGTTGAAGACTACCTCACAGGAAGGAAAGCCAAGGTTTGCTTCAATGGAGCAGTCTCCGGAACAATGAATATGGAACTCGGGATCCCCCAAGGCGGAGTCTTAAGCCCTACACTATTCAATGTACTTATGAACGCCATTGCAAATATTGATTTTCCGGAAGGAACACAACAAGTGGGATATGCAGATGTCCTAATACAAGCTCCCACCTTGGGAAAAATTGAACAGTCCATTGAACTCCTCGGAAGGAAATGTATTGAGCTCGGTTTCACTCTCTCCACAAACAAGACGAAGGCATACTCCCATCACAAGCGGAGAGCAAATGAAGAACTGCAAATTAATGGTGTAACACTTGAATGGGTTGACCACTGTCGGCTCTAACAAGGAAAAGAAAGAGGAGCTCAATCAACTCATAGGAACATGCAAAAGTCGACTCAGGGCACTGAAAGCTATGACCTGGAATGGACATGGAGCCTCTATTGCCGTGCTTAAAATGATGTACACAGCCTATGTGCGCTCCGTCATAGACTATGCCGCACCAGTACTGTGCACCTACTCCCAAAGCGATATGAAAAGGCTTGAAAGCATTCAAAATGAAGCCATGACAATCATTCTTGGAGTTCCAAGAACTGCCAAAACGTCTAATTTACGAGAGGAGTTGTCCCTTCCCAGTGTTAAAAGCAGAATTCGGGAGCTGAATGCTAAGCTTGCAATTAGGATAGCCAGAGATCCCCATTACAATGATATTGCCAAGAAAAAACTGAGCTCTGTGCTACTTTCAGGGGGAAACAGGAGAAGCAAAAAATGGCATCACAGAGCAGTCTGCTACCTTGAAGAGCTTCACCTGCTTGAGAAAGCCCGTGAGCTCCTGCCTGTAGAGAGGTTACCTCCCTGGGAGGATGACTCATGCAAGATCATCATCAATGAAATGGCAATGAAAAAATCCAACATACCACAAGAAATGAGGCACAAGTATCTCGAGAAAATTTATAAAGAAGCCGGAGATGAACTAGATCAAATCTACACTGACGGGTCATCTAATCCTATCAATGGCAGGGCTGGTGCAGCATACACGGTAATCAAGGATAATACCTTCCAACGCAGAAATGAAGAAAAAGCACGTATTGAGAACTATGCCTCTTCAACGCAAGCAGAGCTAACTGCCATTGTTATGGCGTTAAGGTTTCTTGAACGGAACACTAATGGTGCAGTGATTTGCACCGATTCAAAAGCAGCACTGCAAAGCCTAAGTAAAAATCAGGCAGAAAATCTTGCAATAGTCGCTGAAATCAAGAGAGCTGTGAGAGTACTTACCAATCAGGGAAGAGTCATCAAGTTTCTGTGGATCCCCTCCCATGTTGGAATATGTGGAAATGAACGAGCAGATGTGCTGGCTGCTGAAGGAGACCATATTGAATACTTCATACCCAAGACTCAACTACAAATTAGAGGTATTATCAGGCAACATCACCGTGACAAGGTAACTGAAGAAAGGAGGATAGAAGCACAAACCAGTGAATCTGTACGATGGTACAACATGGTTGCAGCTGGCAATCCCAATCATTATGGCCGAAGAGGAGGACGACAAGGGAGAGAATCAGTAATAGCGAGAATCCGTCTTGGATACAAATATCCCTGGAGATTTGGAATGGAAACAACAGCTGATCAGCGAAGTTGCAGAATCTGTGGTGAGAGTGATGGACACCGCCTTGACCACTATCTACGTGAATGTGAACACCTGAGAGACATTAGGAATAACTGCAGAATAACAAACCCCACATTGTTTGAGTTAGGAAAACACTATTTGTCAAATATTGATACTGTTCTTAAAAGATTTCCCCATTTTGCACCCGCAAGATAACGTAAGCTTTTTAAGGGTTGATAAATGTTAATCTTCTTGTTTGAGGAGCTGTTCACTTGAGACAGTTAAGCAAGTCCCAGCTGTGTCTGGGTACAAGTGACAGGATGAACAACCCAGCAGGTTTTCTTCCTATTGGGGAGTGTTGTACATTCTGCTATGGCGGTATGTTCACTCACAAGATGAGTGGCGCTGCCCAATAAACTCGCCCCTCGGGGCAAAATTTAAAAAAAATTTAACCCAAGGGTGAGCAATAATTCAACTCTTTATTTTAGAATATTATAATAAACATGTTAACATAATAATTTATGTGCAACAAATATTACTATGCAATCTCGTTGGCAGGTGAACTGATAAGTGAAGTTATTAATGTGGAATTACTGAAAGACAGGAGACCATGTGACTGGCTGGCTACCCACTTACTCTACACCATTAATGCTGAATGAAGCCTTCTTATCAAATAAGGCTTACCCATTATTTACTAACATATGTAATCTTAACACCTAGTAACATTGTAGTGAATGACTACCAGTCAATAATTCTGACTGATAGACTATTACATTAATAAAACCTCCCAGCTTGTGTAGGAAACAACTTGTGGGAATAAACTCATACAGTCGTCTTTAATCATCGTACAGTCCATTATTGAAACAAATTAATATAAGAAATTAATGTAAAATTAAATATAAATCATAAATTAGAATTCATTAATATAAATTACTTAATAAAAACTGTAAATAAATAAATGAAATCCATGAGTCAGTTTTACCCACAGTCATTCTGTTTCATAATATTTTTCCTTTTCCAAATATTATGTTAATTCATTTTGTCCAATTAAATTATTTTTGTCTGGTTTCACAAATTATGGTTTCCCAAGTTCAAGTAACTGACTGCTGTGAATTTAATTGTAATCACTTATACAGTACACTGTAAATATATATGCCATCAGTAGATGGAGTCAGCTGGCATCCACCCTGCTTCACAGATCAGATGGCGGCCTCGTCACAGACTAGCCTGCTTCTCCATACACCCCACTTGCAGTCTGAAAATACAATAAAATTGATTATATTACCAATAACAATTGAGATCATTTATGTAAATTAATAATAAGTTAATGATCTTTTTTCAGAAGAATGAGTGTACAACAAACATTAGAGTACTGTAATGTACAGTAGTACATTACATTACTCTAATGTACTACTGTAATGTAGGGACAGGAGTTACACATACTAATGAAATCACTATTACGCAAAGCACTTCAGGCAAAACATAATAGAAGAATATTAAATAAAAATGTGAGGTGGTAAAAAACCAGCATTGAATGCAATGAAACGCCATTTTCTGGGTGAGACCCAGAGGCTTCCCGGAGCTATCCAGGCTGATATTGTTAATATTAAACTTTGGCATCAGTCAGTGTGAAAGGAGTTCATAGGTCTACCGGGGACCACGAGCCAGAACCTGGCCCTCCTCAGAAAGGCACGAGGAGCAATGGCCCATAGAACCCCCCCCCCCTCACGTGGTTGGAAGCATTCTGTGTGTGCCATCGACCATGTCAGGCACCCAGAAAGGTAAGCATCCCAAAACAAACTCCTATTCTCGATAAGAAATTGTGACTAAAAGCCGAACTAGTGGACTGAACTCTCCAAACAAAGGCGAGCACAATGTCACCATGTCCCTGTCTGCGCAGCTCCCCCCCTCCCCGGGAGGGGGAAGGGGGGACATCAAAAACACATGAAAAACTGCCGACTGGAGGAAGGGAGGGAGGGTCGCCGGGTAACCTCTGGGTCTCACCCAGAAAATGGTGTTTCATTTTCATTCAATGCTGGTTTGCTGGAGGTGTGAAGGGGGGAGGGAAGCCCTGTCAGCTCCCCGGAGCTAACTACCCAAAGACAAGGACAAAAAAGGGACAAACCCAGGAGGCGCAAACCACTAGCCCGAACCCGAAGGCAGGACAACTGGCAACACCAAATGACCCCACGGACGACCCGGGAGACCCGAACCCTGGAACAGGGATAAAGGGAACACAGGTCAGCCAGGGTTCAGGGCCACGGAGGCCCCGGCACACAGGCAAAGACCGAGAGCCACACCCAGACATAAGAAGCACCCCCAGCCAACCAAACAAGTAGCAAAAAAAAAAAAACCAGGGACCCCTCTGAAAAACAGCAGTCCCAACCTCGCCAGAAAAAAAGAGACAGCTGCAATGAACAAACCGATCACCAGAAACCACAGAGAAACAAACTGGAACTGAAGGGGCCACAACAAACCGAAGGGAAGAGAGTGAGAGAGAGCACCCTGTCCAGGACCAGGACGGCTCATGAGCAGGCCGGAAGTGAAACAACGCCTGAGACAGCTCGCAAAACGCTGCAGAAGGAACATCAAAGCCGAAAGCAATCCAGAGCGGCTCCGCCAGCACCGCTCGAGAAAAGGTGACAGTATGTGGCAAGATGATGGTCCCAAACTGTCACGAGAAAAGGACAAGACCACAGCAACAAAAAGTGCAGAATACCCATGAAGAAACCCCATACCGCTGCCGACACGAAGCACGCAGGTGGGACACCATCAAGAAGCTACCTGATCACCAAACACATGGTGATATACCCGAGTCAAAATTACCAGACGTGAAGACTTGAGAAGACCGAACCAGCTCCAGAACAGACCAAACTGAGCATCAGAAAGAGGCGGAGCTGTTGGAAAACCGAGCAAGCAGCGCCAGAAACCTGAACCTGGGGAGTCAAGAAAGAACCAACCCTGGCGAGCAGAAGTGCCCCATCCGGGTGGACCCCTCCCCCTTGGACCTCCGAAGAATCAGCAAGTCTGATAACGGACGACAAGGAGAAACCGCCGCTTGCAGAAACTGCCCCACCGCAGACACCGCAAACAACAAGGACAAAATGGCGATGAAAACTTAAGAGCCAGGGGCCAAGCAGAGTCCAATGAGGAAGCAAGCTCCACTAGCCGAAAAAAGAGACGTGAATCGACAACAGTGACACCGCATCCCGCAGGATCAGCGCAACCAGCTCCAGCAGGGCAGAATGACACACACGCTGCCTAGTAATGCACGAGAAGAGCTAAGTAGGGCACTTTAATTTGGGCACGTGTACTGTGCCCAAATTAAAAAACACCCACATGGAAAAGGAACACGCATAAATGTCCGTAGCCAGGGCCGTAAATCCTACCTCCCCCTGACCCAACGAAAACGAACTGTAGGGGACAGGAGTGGGTGGTCAGAAACCTACACCCACCCGCAGACAATGCAACACAGCAGCTGGCAGCGACACACAAGAAGATGAAAGATACCTGCTTGATGGGGTTCTGGGAGTTGTTCTACTCCCCACTTGACTTGTGAGGGTTTGGTCCACAAGGCTTTGAGTGACCCGCAGGCCCACATACCCACCACAGCCCAGTTGGTCTGGAACTTTTTTTTTTTTTTTTTTTAGAAAACGGTCTAGTTTTCTCTTGAAGATGTCCATGGATGTTCCAGCAATATTTCTTATAGTCGTTGGGAGGACGTTGAACAACCGCGGACCTCTGATGTTTATACAGTGTTCTCTGATTGTGCCTATGGCACCTCTGCTCTTCACTGGTTCTATTCTGCATTTTCTTCCATATCATTCACTCCAGAATGTTGTTATTTTACTGTGCAGATTTGGAACCTGGCCCTCCAGTATTTTCCACGTGTATATTATTTGATATATCTCCCGTCGTCTTTCTAGCGAGTACGTTCGGAGAGCTTTGAGACGATCCCAATAATTTAGATGCTTTATCTCGTTTATGTATCCCGTATATGTTCTCTGTACTCCCTCTATTTCGGCTATCTCTCCTGCTCTGAATGGGAAAGTGAGTACTGAGCAGTACTCAAGACAGGGACAGCACAAGTGATTTGAAGAGTACAATCTTTGTGATGGGATCCCTGGATTTGAAAGTTCTCGTAATCCATCCTATCATTTTCCTGGCTGCCACAATATTTGCTTGCTTATGCTCCCTAAAATTTAGGTCATCAGACATCATTATTCCCAAATCCTTTACATGTTGCTTTCCTACTATGGGCAAATTTGATTGCATTTTGTACTCTATTTTATTTTAGGTTTTCATTTTTACCATATCTGAGTACCTGGAATTTATCGCTGTTAAACATCATGTTATTTTCTGCTGCTCAGTCGAAAACTTTATTAATATCTGATTGTAGTTTATCAATATCTTCAGCAGAGGTAATTTTCATGCTGATTTTTGTGTCATCTGCAAAGGATGACATGAAGCTGTGACTTGTATTTGAGTCTATATCTAATATGAGAATAAGGAAAAGCAGTGGTGCAAGGACTGTACTTTGAGGTAATGAGCTTTTAACTGCACTTGGACTATTTTATATGGTGTGTTCTGTTCGACAGAAAATTGATTAGCCAAAGTCCTACTTTACCAGTTATTCCCATTGACCTCAATTTTGTGTGCTATCACTCCATGGTCACATTTATCGACTGCCTTTGCAAAATCCGTGTATACCACATCTGCATTCTGTTTTTTCTTTTAATGCCTCAGGTATTTTGTCATAGTGGTCAAGTAGCTGTGAGAGGCATGAGCTTCCTGCTCTAAATCCATGTTGGCCTGGATTGTGGAGGTCATTGGTCTCCATGAAACTAGCGACCTGACTCCTGATTACTCACTCAAATACTTTTATTATGTGGGACGTTAGTGCAACTGGTTTACAATTCTTTGCCAATGCTTTGCTACCTCCCTTGTGTAGAGAGGCTATGTCTGCTGCTTTAAGCACATCTGGTATCTCCTCCGTGTGCAAGCTCTTCCTCCACACACTGCAGAGTGCCTGTGCTACTGACACTGCATTTCTTTATAAATATTGAATTCCATGAGTCTGGACCCGGGGCTGAGTGCATGGGCATATTGTCAATTTCTCTTTCAAAATCTGCCACGCTCGTGTTGATATCAGTTATATTTACTGGGGTTTGGATATCACGCATAAAGAAGTTGTCCGGATCTTCCACTTTCATGCTGTGTATCAGGGTGCTAAACATGACCTCATACTACTTTTTCAGGATTTCACTAATTTCTTTGTCATCCTCAGTATATGAACCTTCACTAGTACGAATATGTCTAATAATAGCAGTGGTTTTTGCTTTTGATTTAGCACATGTGAGGAAATATTTTGGGTTTTTCTTTATTTCTTGATTTGCTTTCGATTCTAGTTGTCTTTCTTCAATCTGATATGAATGCTTCAGTCTCTGTTCGATTTCTTCAATCTTTCTGTTTAAATTATTCCTTCTTTGTATGGAAAGTTGTGTCTGCTTCAGCATTTTCGTTAACTTTTTTCTTCTTTTGTAGTGTTGTCTGCGTTCTCTTTCTACGTTGGACCTCTTTCTGGCTTTCCTCAAAGAAACATGTTTCAGACAGACTTCATATGCTTCAGAAGTCAGTTTTTCTATTCCTTGTGTAGGTTTTTTATTACTTAGAACATTTTCCCACTGAATGTTTTTAAGTTCCCTGTTTATTTTCTTCCAGTCTATCCTTTTATTATTAAATTTGAATTCATTGAATAGCCCTTCTCGCTTGTTGTTTCTCTTGGGCCTACTACCGTTATTAATGTTAGTTTGCACTTCAAGGAGCTTGTGGTCCGAGCACGTAGTGTCTGAGACAGTAATGTCTCTGATTAGCTCATCATTGTTCATGAATATGAGGGCCAGTGTATTCTCGTTCCTAGTCGGTTCTGTAATCTGCTGACTGAGCGAGAATTTGTCACAATCTCAGTAGTTCTCTAACCTGTAATTGGTTATTTCCAAGTTGATTTCCTGCTATAATGTTATTGTTTACTATTCTCCATTGTAAACTGGGTAGATTGAAGTCTCCAAGGAAGATATCTGGTACTGAGTTTGCTAGGTTATCAAGGATATTCTCTATTTTGTGAATCTGTTCAGTGAATTTCTCAACCGTTTCATCTGGCGGTTGGTATATTAGAATAATAATTAGATTCATATTCTCTACCTTGATTCCAAATACCTCTACCACCTCATTTGTAGCGTTCAGGAGCTTTGTGCATGCCAACTCCTCTTTAATATACAGACCTACTCTTCCACTTGGCCTAATTACTCTGTCACATCTATATAGATTATAATTTGGGATCCAGATTTCACTATCCATGTGGTCTTTTGTGTGGGTTTCTGTAAATGCACCAAACATTGAGTTCGATTCTATTAGAAGGCCATTTATGAACTTAACTTTATTTCTTGACTTTGATTTTAGACCTTGTATGTTTGCAAATATGAATGATTTCCCATATTGCATGTCACTTCTTGTTGGCTTTGGTAGTTTTCCCCCCTCTCCACCCATGTCCAGGGTGTGTTGTTTTGGTAGTGGTTCATCCAGTTTTGGTAGTAGTGCAGTTGTTGTGTGGTGTAGTACCTGTGTGCTTGTTGATGATTTGTATTCTATCTAGTCTTGTGGGTATCTCCCTTCCCCCTCTGTAGTCCTGTAGTGGTTCCATCTGACTGTTCCTCTCTCTCTTATATGTTCTACTCTGTGGCTGCCTTCCTCTAAAAAATTTCCAGTAGTATCATACCGATCTTTCCATCTATAACGCTGTGTACCTGTCACATGGAATTCCGGGCACTAGAGATTGTAACATTTTTTGTCCCTAATTGAGAATTGACATAGTTTAGAGTGGAAGTATCTACACCCCGTTCCAAAACGGCATGTACCCCTCGTCAACATGTTCTTGCATTTTCAAGAATGCAGAAAAGTGCATTTTGCACCTAATTTCCCATATTTGCATATTCCTTGTGCATAGAATTTGCAAATATTTTCATTTTTTCTGTTTACAGAATATTTATACTTGTGCCTGTCTTGGCCACCTCTTTAATGGAGCCATCTCCGTTGTTCGTCCAAATTCCTTCGTTTATGCACTCTTTCCCACTGTTGCTCTCATCGTTTATATTACCTGGCTCTGCAATATTGCTGTTTTGTACCACAATACCCTCTTCCTCCACACTACTGCTGTGGCTCTCTAAATTACTTGTTCCTGAGTTTTGGTCATTATCCAGTGTTGTTTTTTCACGGTGCACATACATCGCTGGTAGCTTTTTTGTGAATGTTAATCTGTGTGACTCGGGTATGGCATTCATCAGTTGGGTTATGTTTTCCATATTAAACTGTCCTTTTTGCAAACCCAGTATAATCCCTTGGCTGTTTGTGCATGATGTAGATAATTCTGCACAGTTCAGGTGGAATGTTGCGTTACAGATGCAACACTTGACACCTACATCTTCCAAATGGTACAAAACACTTTCCACACACCAAATACCATATATCATTGTCTGATGTATGGTATTTGCTTCACTATGTATTCTTTGTAGTGAAGCCTTTTTTTTTTTTTTCTTCCACAAACGTGGCCACACATTTACAATGCTGACCATCATATATACATTTTCTTCTGTCCTCCATAGACAGGGTTAGAGATCAGTTAAACATATAGTTCAGGAATTTATTGAACAATCAACCACAGGTGATTCGGTACTTTTAAACTGCTAAGCTAACCTACATACGTAAATACATAGATACATAGATTTACGTATGCCCTACATAAAGTGTTCGAAGTGTCATTAATGTGCATTTACAAAGGTGAAATGCAATTCTGATCAGCTTCCATATGTACTTTATACACATACGTACACACACATATAAGCATTGTGTATACCACAGATGTAATTCTTTTAACGTGGGCTTCAGGAGCCCAGAGCTTTCAGTAATTTTACTATTTATAGCATTATACGTATATATTTATAATATTATATATATACCATATATTTGTAATATTATATATGTTACTTTGTTCAAACTTTATGGCCGGTACTTAGCGTAGGGTAGCAAAGATGGCCCCCCGTGCTGTACAGTTGACCCCTTGTTGACCCAGGATGATGCCACCAGTTTCCAGTTACTCGATTTATAACATTTATTATTTGCTTGTATTATTACAAGAATTTTCTGCCTAATTTCTGTCTTGCAGTGGTATTCACTCACTCTATTACTAATTCCTAGATCCACATTTCCATACTACACTATATATTATCCGTATATTATCACGGAGGTGGTTGTTGTTTAAGATTCGCTACCTGGAACAAAAAGTTCCAAGTAGCACGGGCTATGGTATCACGGAAGGACGTGCCCTGGGATAGGCCTCGTGGCTTGTGTAAACACAGCTAGCGTGATGCCGTCTCTTGACACTATTCAATATTTCTAATATTCTATGCACGATTCCCCTACACTTCCAACTTATGTGTGTTGCGTTACCTGTTCCATTTCACTGTTCACTATATTTCATATATCGACTAAATGCATGTACACAAAGAGCCTCGTGGCACTGGCTCACACGTGGTCCCCGCATTTATTCTCTAACACAAAATTCCATTGTTAATGACTGTATTCAATTTTCCAATGAGTCACTATGCACTTTGTGATGTCTGGAATCAGCAATCCATCGCTGTAGTCCTAAGAAATCCCGGTAAAAGTCAAGATTTTAACGGAGCGCGCATGATATGTCTTTTCCCCTCCCCACACAACAACAACAAAGGTTTATTACCCTTAGACTGCACATATTGGGGGCCTGGTAGCAAAAAATATTTAAATTATGTAAAAATAACTTAAAAATGTTAAACAAATCTCCAACTTATTGGCTTCAGTGTCGTGAAACTTTCATCAAAATATTTTCAGAAATTGATTTTAGATGAATTTTTGAAAAATAAGAATGTTTTCCTGATAAGGAGAACATGGGGAACCCCTTGAGATTGGGAAGGATTTAGAAATTACTCCTATGGCAACCTAAAACATTCTTCCTCTAAGATAATTAGTTATCCACTGGAGAATGTTTCCTGAAAGAGCCAGGGTACGAAGCCTGAGTAGGACAGCCTTATGAAAGGCGGAGTCAAAAGCTCCTTGTAGTTCTAAAAACACAACTAGTGACACTTGTCCTGCATTGGAGTCAAATCAAAGCCAGTGTTCCAGCTGAAGGATGCAATCAATTGTCTTCTGTCAACCCATTCTTGCAAATTCGTAAAGTCAATATTGACTTATTAACTACTAGTACGTGCATAGGTGATATACTAAACATAATACCCTTAAAAAGATTCATAGAAAACACCGACCTTACCTAACCTTGTTAGTATCGTGAGATAAGCAGCTTATTGCTTCGTAATTACAATTATTACTTAACCTATACCTATTATAGGTTAGGTAATAATTGTAATTACGAAGCAATAAGATGCTTATCTTAACATACCAAGTAGGTTAGGTAAGGTCGGTGTTTTCTATGAATCTTTTTAAGGGTATCTATTATGTTAAGTATGTCACCTATGCACATATTTAATAAGTCAATATTGACTTATTAAATTTGCGAGAACGGGTTGCTTCTGTCCTTGCAAGAAACCACTTAACGATTCTGGGAAGATGGTGTACTTCTCAGCCCACCAACTGAGGCAACATAGGATGAGGAGTTCAAATAGTTTCCCCTAAGCTGGGCAGAAGGCACATTGGTCTGTAAGAAATTGGAAGTTTGGCATCCTTTTTCTGTTTTTTTTTAATAGGAATAAGGAGGGCTTACTACCACTTCTCCGGGGAAAAAAAATGAAGTGCAGCAAGCACTGAAGACTGAGAACATCACTTTGGAACACTGGGTGTAACCCGGGTGAAAAATTCATTCGGCATCCCATCGGCCCGGAAGCTTTGTGTTGAGGGGGTGAGAGCAAGGGCTTTTTGCAATTCATGTAAGGTGAACGGACACTAACATGGATGTCTTATGCCTGTACAGTGATTTTTTCTGATTTAGTGTCTTGTCATATCTTGGGAAAGTTAAAAATCATATGTAAATGCAGTTAAAAAAATTCTCCTACCTCTACAGGATTAGAACGGTTGCTCCTGAGTTATCAAGAATTGGTTACAAGGAAGTTGCATACTTGCCATCCATTATCCGGATGATAGTCCAAGTTTTGGAAATTGGACTATCGCATCGGAGGGAGCAGTAGGATGCCCATGTCTCTTGCTTGGCTTCTAGGAGGACTTCTGCAACATGTATCTTCCCAGAGATAAGAATTTTTGTTTTGAGGGTAGGAGGCCTGCTGCCATTTGTTCCATGTACTACATCATTCTTTCACAGCTGACATTCCCCATTCCACCAAGGGATGTCTGGCCACCTGTTTGGGCCTGATGTTGACTGACGGACGTGGCGTTGGCTGATGTCAAGTAGACTGGACGTGATGTGCATTGCAGCCATGTTGGGATCCCCAGGACTAGTTTGAGGAAAGTTTCACATTGAGCCATCCTCCCCACCCTTCTGCATTGAATATCCACCGCGAGTGGCGAGAGGTGGGGAGAGGAAAAAGGTTTACAAATCTTAGAAAAACCGGTAAATGTCTGTGTTATGTTAATGATAACTTCAATGTCAAGACGAACATGTAACCTGACACAAGGCAAAGTGTGGTTTGGAGAGGTATTAATTAACAGGGAGACTCAGAGGTTAGTCTTATCACCTGTGGTCTCCATTACAGTGGTTACCCCATACAATGACCTGCGCCGCTCCTTTCCACTCAACCGGTTGTTCCCTACTGGGGACATATACCATTGCATTTCCTGGTCAAAAGGAAACTGAGATACATTTCGAGCCATGTACTTAACCACTTTATAATGGCATCTCTTAAATGGTGGCATGAGGCAGGAAACTCACCTGTAGTCCTCTGAATCGACAACTGCAGTGGCATTATGTAGTAGTTGCACAACCTCTAAGTGCCCACCTTTAGCAGCCAACGATAGGGGTGAATTGCCTTTCTTGTTCTTCACATCTAATTGAGCACCTCTGAGAGAAAGGGAGAAAGAGAGAGAAATAAATGCAAAGAAATAAATGCAATGAAACACTATTGTACTTAATAGCATAAAACTTAATTGTAATGCTCTGAATGAGCAAGTCTAAATACAGTACAAATACTTACTGCTTATATAGATCAGACAGAAATAAAGAAAATTTGATTTAAGAGTGATGAAAGATGAAATATCAAAAGTTGAATGTAATTAGGCCTACCAAACACCACAATTACAATCTGGTGTGCTCACATAGGAAAGAGGAGAATCTATTTAATTTGAACTACTCGAGTAAAATGCAAAGTACAGGCAAAGAATAAACTAGCTATCCTGATGAAAGAAGGATGGAACAAGGACAGTGGAAGATCGCCAAAATGTCAAACCAAGCACTAGTGTTGCAGCACATCTCCAGATAGTAGTGATGGTTACCCCAGTGATGTTGACTACACCACACACTAGAAGGTGAAGGGACGACGACGTTTTGATCCGTCCTGGACCATTCTCAAGTCGATTGTGAGACAATCGACTTGAGAATGGTCCAGGACGGACCAAAACGTCGTCGTCCCTTCACCTTCTAGTGTGATTGTGAGACAATCGACTTGAGAATGGTCCAGGACGGACCGAAACGTCGTCGTCCCTTCACCTTCTAGTGTGTGGTCTGGTCAACATACTTTAGCCACGTTATTGTGACTCATCGCCTACCCCAGGGATCCATCTACCCAGCTCACAGGTAAGAAGGGCAAATTGGGTACAAGGAGCTGCTGAGGCCACCCACCACCTCAGTGCCTGCTCACAATGGTGCCTTGGAGACTAAAAATTGGCTTTGGGCAAAAAACAGTAAGAAAAATAAAAACCAAAGAGTATGGGTTATCCAGTGGGGCAAGATCAAGAAATCCAGGACTTAAGGCAAAAAATCTTCAACGGAAATAATGCTCATGCCACACGGAGCCAGTGAGGACATGGAATATACAAAAGATAACTAGAAATTTATAACACTATTCAGGTACTATAAACACAGCTCAAATACTAGGATATACAGTATAAATATTTACTATACAGTATAATACATTATAAAGTAAAGTAGAAATGTTCACATGCTTCCGTCAATCATGTGTACAGAGATATACATCAGGCTGTAAGTCCAACCAGCTAATGGATAATCCAAGAAACCATGGCTTTGGAACAAGGCATTAACCCTTAGACAGTAGTTATGCTTGTGGGAGTTGAGCTTTGGCTCTTTAGTCCTGCCTCTCTACTGTCAATCAACTGGTGTACAGATTCCTGAGCCTACTGGGCTCTATTGAAATTGAAATAAGTTTATTCAGATAAAATACACGGAAAGGGATGAGGCAGCTCAAGCTATTCTCACCCTGTTCACTGGGCTCTATCATATCTACATTTGATACTGTATGGTGTCAGCCTCTACCACATCACTGCCTAATGCATTCCACCTGTTAACCACTCTGACACTGAAAGTTCTTTTAACTCATTTGGGTACGCAGTCTCCACCTGTGTCCCCTTGTTCGTGTACTACCCGTGTTAAACAGTTTATCTACCCTGTCAATTCCTCTGAGAATTTTGTAGGTAGTGATCATGTCTTCAAGAGAGAACTTGACAAACATCTACAAAGGATACCTGATCAACCAGGCTGCGACTCATACGTCAGGCTGCGAGCAACCGCGTCCAACAGCCTGGTTGACCAGTCCAGCAACGAGGAGGCTTGGTCAACGACCGGGCCGTGGGGTCGCTGAGCCCCGGAATCACCTCAAGGTAACCCATTACTCTTGTGTCTTCCAGTGTTGTGAGGTGCATTTCATGCAGCCTTTCCTCGTAACTCATGCCTCTTACGTATTGGGACTAGCCTAGTGGCATACCTCTGAATTTTATCCAGCTTCATCTTGTGCTTGACAAGGTACGGGCTCCATGCAGGGGCCGCATACTCCAGTATTGGTCTTACATATGTGGTATACAAGGTTCTGAATGATTCCTTACATAGGTTACTGAAGGCTGTTCTGATGTTAGTCAGCCTTGTGTATACCATAGATGTAATTCTTTTAATGTGGGCTTCAGGAGACAGGTTTGGTGTGATATCAACTCTTAGATCTTTCTCTCTGTCCGTTTCATGAAGTATTTCTTCTCCCATTCTGTATCCTGTGTTTGGCCTCCTGTTTCCACTGCCTAGTTTCAGTACATTACATTTACTCGGATTGAACTTTAGTAGCCATTTGTTGGACCATTCATTCAGTCTGTCTATGTCATCTTGTAGCCTCATACTATCTTCCTGTTTTAATCCTCCTCATAATTTTTGCCTCATCAGCAAACAATGAGAGGAACAACTCTATACCCTCTGGGAGATCATTTGCACATATCAGAAACAGTATAGGTATAGGTCCAAGGACTGAACCCTGCGGGATTCCACTGGTGACGCCACGCCAATCTGAAACGTCACCCCTCACAGTGACTCACTGTCTTCTGTTACTTAGGTACTTACTCCCTTATCCAATGGAGTACCTTCCCTTTCCCGCCTGCATGCATCTCCAGCTTTTTCACTAGCCTCTTGTGTGGTACTGTGTCAAAGGCTTTCTGGCAATCCAAAAATATGCAGTCTACCCACCCCTCTCTTTATTGCCTGTTTTTTTGTTGCCTGGTCATAGAATTTAATTAATACTGTGAGGCAGGATTTGCCATCTCTGAACCCATGCTGATGATGTGTTACAAATTCCTGCACTGCAGATGTTCCACTATCATTTTTTGTACAATCTTCTCCAAATTGCATGGTATGCAAGTTAGGGACACTGGCCTGCAGTTCAATGCCTCCTGTCTATACCCCTTCTTGTATATCGAAGCTACATTAGCCGTCTTCCAAATTTTTGGCAGTTCCCCTGTTACCAGTGATTTGTTATACTGTACTCTATGGAGAGTGGTAGGCACAGTGCTTCTGCTCCTTCCTTTAGGATCCAAGGGGAGATTCCGTCTCGACCTATAACCTTTGTCACATCCAACACTAGCAAGATGTGAGAGAGTCGTCTCTCAAGATTCTCCCACAGCTGACTTGAATGGCTCATTGCAGTGCACAGTGCACCGAACTTCGTGCACAAGGCCTCTCTCTCTTAACCCTGGATAGTGACCTGGCATGTTGGGTATCTCCAGAATGCCCACTTAACCAGGAACACTTTCATAATATGGAGGCCGCCGTATGTCCAGGCAGGAAGTAGATACAGGGAAGTTAAGCATACTTGCTACAGGGTTAATGAGTACATTGGCCAGTGCGGAGCATGAGAGAGGGGAGATGCCAGCGACCGTCTGACCTCTGGGGTCAACCGGCGCAATGGAGAATAACAGCTACGACGTGGTCGTGACGTGTTCATGACGTCACTCCTACTGATCATCGAACGGTCATAATGATTGGTTCCCGCTCATTTGCTGCAATGCTATTGGTCAAATTGTAACTCTCTTGCGCTGTGTGCCACGAGATGCCCGGCAGCCCTTGGAGAGTATTCAAGTGAGGGAGCCCTTACACAGAGGACGTGTTCTGTCTACCGGCCAATAGACTGAACACTGTCCATTCCTCACCGTCAAGTTAACTCAGCGTCTTTTCGATATACCCCACACTCGCCCAGAATCACGATTGTGAATATATTGTTCACAAGCCTATAGTGACAAAATCACCAGAGCAAAACAGACTGGTATCAGGTAACCCCTGGTGACAAAGATTGTTGTGAGTGACTTAGAGTGAACTAAGGCAGTGCCGCCGCCTAAGTAATCTGTGTGTGACTTTACCACAGTGTACCTGTACCAAAGTGTACAGTGTAGTGCAGGGTACCATATAACCTGCAGCCGCCAGCCGCCGCCACCCCTCACTGTACCACGTGATGTCACCACCCTTACTCACCACCAGTGCCAAGAGTGTGCGCGCATGTCTGTAGACATACAGTACGCCCTACTGCAAGTACCCTCCGTGTCTACGAGCGAAACCAGCTGTCAGGCCACCTACTTCTTGCATAAATGTGTCTGAGTGAGTAAGGAAAGGTACCTTATCTGTAAGTACAAGATCTTGTCATTGTTTTATTGTGTCTGTGTTGATCTGAGGTATCAACCACAGTTCTCACCTTCTCATACCTGTCACAGGTTATAGATGAATTGACGGTGAATGCGTGTTTATCTGTGTGGTATCACTGCATTTCACTCGTCTGTGAATGTGAGCTTCACATACACCACACATTTAGTATTGTGTGATATTATTGTGCATGTTATTGCCTGTCCCATTGACAGTGCCTTTGTGATTTATTGCATATCATCATTACTGAGTATCCGGTTGGAACTCTTGTGATCCCTTTGCATACCAGCAGTTAGGTTGCCGTGTTAATGATTGGCTGTCAACTGTGTTAAGTTAGGTGTTACTCCACGAGTGGATACGAGTCGATTAGCCAGACATCAAGAGTCTCACTAATGCAACCATAGCCTTTCTGACGCCAATCTAAAGTAAATCAAGCACCCTTTGTATTAGTGGTTAAGTTAGTAAATAAACTACTGTTAAGCTTTATGCGGTGTTTCCGTTGAACCACTTCTGAATACTGCCAATCAATTACTCCAGCTCTAGGTGTCTTCAACACCGAGTTGCCTAATTCACTAAACTATAAATGTGATGAGGACCCTGGGAGTCCCTTAAAGTGTTAAATCATTGAGGAGATTCCAACGATCAACGAGGAGCAGGACCAGGTGAGGCTAGTCTGAGAAGAGACCCTCAAGGACTAACTCGACCGTGCTCCCAGGCCCTGTACGGTTGCTCTCGTATTTTCTATTCTGCTAATTCCGACAGTTTCGTGAAGCGTCTGCCACATGTACATTGGCGACGTACGCATTGCAGTCGTGAAAGCAAAAAAGAAAACCCCCACACAAGAGCTTCCATATGTCACCACTGGTAATCCCAAACTATTTTAGTGGTGCCTGGTACTATTCCCTCTCTTATCTCTGTACCTTCTCCTTGCTCTAATGTGA